GGCTGGAGAAGGACGAGGGGAGGGAGACCTTATTGCTGCCTGCAGCTGCTCGGGGAGGCAGAGCCAGGCTGGTGCACAGTGATAGCACAAGAGGCAAGAGCACAAGCTGTAACATGGGAAATGTCAATTGGATATTAGGAAAAATCCTGGCTGTAGCAGGGTTATAGGCTCATTTCCTATCCTCGCTGTTAGTTCTTATGCTTTTATTTCTGCTCCACGGAGCCAGAAACTGGGTTAGGAATGCATCTCTCTTCATTTTGGTACTTCTACATAAGACTACATACAATGATTTATCTGCACATTTGTAATTTTCCAGTTAAGGTTGACTTAGACCTCTGTTTTCCCATCCTGTCCCCCTGCCCTTCATGTATATGACATCTGTTTTATATCATTTTACTCTCTAAAAAGAGGGCAGCACTCTCTTTGAATTTCTTTTTAGTTCCATTTCCAAAAGTGTTCTCTGGGAGGAGTGTTTTGGTTTGGGATCTTAACCTGGATCTATGTATATGTTTTCTACTGGCATTGCTATTTCTGTGAGGAGTGTGATTGCTGTCTCTCCTACCTGTTGAGCTTAGAGCAGAACAGTTGAACAGCTTTATACCAGAAATATATTTATAACATGCTTTGGTACCAATATTCTGCCTTTCCTGTGTGTAAGGAACCTTTTGCTGGCAGTTTTGCATGCTGTAACTGCTCTCAGCCTGTTGTGGATTCACCTTTGTATTTTAACTGTGCTGAATTCCTTGTGTTCTTCAGCTGTCATTTATAGAGAAGCCCTAAAATGGGATGTTATTTTTCCTTTTTTTAAAATAATGAAAGCTCTTTTTCAAATAGTAACTTACAGCAGATCTCAAGGTATAAGTATGAAATGGCCACCTACCATTTTCCGTATGTTCATCCAAAGCCAAACACACAGCCGTGTTCTTACTGCCAGCTACGTCAAACCGTTGTTGTCCTAAATAAATGCTGTTGAGATTTTAGTGGCCATTGGGAAAGGTGACTGAGGTTACAGCCCTGCTTTATTAAGGTGTCCATGTGTCGTACACAAACTCAGTTATGTATAATGTAAAAGATAAGCAGGTAATGGAAGAGTTTGCCCCGAGTATGGAGTTTCTTTCTCTGACCAAAAGACACTTATAGAAGTAATGTTTGGAATGCTCTGAAAAGAAACATGAATGAGTTCATAACAAAATTACTGTAAAGCTTGCATGCATGAAATTGTGAGGTTTTTAACTCAGCTGAAGTTTCCTGGTTCACTTATTTCTAGTTCTTCCACTTTCATTGCTCTCTCCAGTGCATAAAGTCACGGTTTGCAGCTAGAACTCATGACCCATGCAAAAATACAACATTCCCTATTTCCCCAAGTGATCCCTGCACTTCAGCTGTGTAAGAGCAAATGTGTTGGTGCTCTGAAATAATAATGCAGAAGAGAAAAAGACAAAGACCGTGCAGCAGAAAAAGAGGCAAGTCCGTGTTTGCCTCTGGTGAAGCGTTCAGAGCGCTTTCTCCTGTCCTCCCAGTGTTGATATGCTTTGCCTTAACTACCTTTTCCACTAATGTTTTCTGCATTCCCTGTTGTGGAAACTACAGCAGAGAGTCTTTCACATGGTGTGTGAAGATCCAGAAACTCATTACAGCAGCAGCCCTGCAAGGCAGTGCTGGGAATCAAACTGTGAAATTGCAATTCCTGAAGGGCAGCATACACGGCAACATGTTACTGTAGTTTTCCAATGGACTGAGCCACCCAGTAGTCACAACAAATGATGCTAAACCCCAGCAACTACCCTGTATTTATTCTGTAATTTATGCTCCAGGGGATATAATCAAAGAAGAAAATTCCTTAAAAGAAGTTTCTCTGCAAAATTTAGCTTTAACAGAGCAACAGCCTTTATTTCTATGAGTTAACACAGAGATGTAGAAAGGGTTGGGATTTTTCTTACAGTTTCTTTGCTCCTGCTTTCTTTCTCCTACCTCTTTAGCAGCTTTTCAGACCAATAAAGAAAGTAATTTAAGAACACTGCAGTTCAGGAAATTGTTACTTGCCATCAATACCTACAGAACAGATTCTTCACGTAAAGACACAGAGCTGAGGGGATTCCACACGCATGTGTTGTGTGGAAATCCAGGCAGGGTCATATAACATATTGCACGTGGGTTGAGATGAATCATGAGGAGAACGTGTATTGCACATGGTATCAATTCATTTATATCTGAATTCTCAAAAACATAAAGTTGAAAAAATATATACATATAGTTCAGAAAATGCTGATTTCCATTCCATCCCACTGTGATTAAGTCCTGCGTCTGCACCATAATTATGGATGGATCTGCCAATTTCAGTGATGCTGTTATGGAAAGCAGAACTCAGTGTAGATTTTTGGCACTATGCAGAGAATAGTACTATATCTTCAGAGGGTTTTTTTCTCTAAAGCCCTTGGAAACAGTCTCCTTTACAGTTGAAGTGTCCTATCTTTGCTTTATTCCTGGTGTGATTTTTATTTCAAAAGGCTCCAAGAAAAGTTTTTAGTTACTGGTTAATCTCCATGTTTTTGTGCTCTTCTCCTAGCAACAAAATGGCCCACATTCCAAAAATATTCCATCTCAGGTGGAAAACCAGCATCCCAGGAAAAATGCTGAAGAATGCCCAGAGAATGTGAATAATGGTTATGGAATACCCCTCTTTGTGCGATTGGTTTTGAGCAGCTGTATCTTTTTTCGTTGGTTTGGATAAGTGACCCCAATTCTCTGTCATGAAAGCATGTGACAAAAAATTCTTCCTTTTGCAATGAAGACCAGTACTCCAGGAAATCTCAGATAAATGCTACGCAGTTGTTTGCTAGGACCTCTGATGCTGCATTTGGAATTGTGTTTCTGAAGCAAGAAGGAGGGTGACGTTTCTATTTGCCAATTCCTTCCATGTTGCAACAGGAATAGCAAACCGTTTGCCTACAACAGGTTTTTGTATACAGATAGGAGGCAATCAGGATTAGAGAATCAATCTAATCTGTGTGTACGTGTAATTGTGAATGTGTTTGACAAAGTATTAATTTGTTATTCACTATACATGAAACTAAATAACCATGCAAAATAGTGGGAAGGGAACTAAAGCTGCCTGAGCCACTGCGCCTTCAGAAGTGAAGGTGTCAGAGGGTTCCATTTCCTATTGTAAGCACTGTTATAAAACTATTTCCATGAACAAAGAGGAAGCAAATCGGTGGGGCTATAAAAAGAAGCTGCATTATCTGGATGCCTGTTGGATGACAAAGGCATGATAGGATTCCAGCAATGCAATTAAGACAGTTAGAAAATTCCAAATAAACAGGCTTTTAACTGTAAATGTAATTAACCACTAGAGCTACCCATCTAAGGATATGGCAGAGCTGCCATCATTTGTTGTCTTTAAATTCAGACATCCTGAGCAGAAAGCAAGATTAAAGATTGTAACGAACTCTTATGGTCTTGCAATCTGTATAAGTCCTAGCTTAATACCTTTGAAACACACTGTGAAGGTGAGAGGAGATGCCTGACAGGCTGTGGTCAAAGTGGGATTTTAAATGGTGAAACCTTAATAGAGAAAAAGCCTTTAAATGGAATGCACATCAGTGTGTGGTGGAAAGTAAGACTGCAAAGTATTTTAATTTATGTTAAATGCTCCCGCTTCCATGTATTCAAATTTATGTTGCGGATAGTTTTAACATGGCAATTGCATAGTTATTAGTTTCAGTACCACAGGATGCAATTGAATGTACTATATGTTTCACTGGTAATTAGTAAGCATTATTTAGGATGTGTTGCTAGGGAATAATTTATGGGCTCTTGTGCCAAAACTCTGAGTTTGTAGGAATGGCAGCGATGCTGACTGGTCTGGGAAAATGCTGTCTTGTGAGTAACTCATATGCAGGTATTTTGCTGCTGCTGGAATGGTTTCTTTTTTCCCAACTGGAAATGAAGCAGCTTGAAAGATTAATTAGAATTGAAGAAGATGAGGGGTTCTCTGCAGGAAGTACATGGCTTCCTTTTGGGTACCAGGTGCTTTTGGAGTTCTTGATTTAAGCCTGTAATTGCTCAGCTTTTGAGGAGTTTGTTGGCTCAAGATTTCCTGCATTTGGAGTGTTGTGGTACGAAGATATTTCACCTCAGTTATTAGCACAGTTAGACTCTGTGTTTACCAGTGATTGCCAGAGGTCTTCATCTTTTGGAATATGCACTGCGAGTACCAAATAGTTAGGTTGCCTGTGGTGTTTCATATAATTGTGCTCTTGTAGCACTGATGACAGTCAAGGGAGCAGGAACAGTGAGATATAATTAAAACTACAGTCTGATTTGTTATTGTATTTGGTTCCTGTGAAACTTCTCCTTCATTCCAGGAAATGCATCTCTCACTATGCTTGAGAAAGCTTCCAAAACTCTGATGTGTTTGTATGGATACTTGGGTAAAAGGTGTGCAGTAACGGAAGGAATTAAAACTCTCAATAGTGCTTTTTGTCGCCTTCATCCATTTCTTTTTCCCATAAAACCAAGTTAAAAATGGTAGGGTCCCAGCCTACCTCTGTTTCTGCCTGTGATGAAGACTGGCTGCATGGCAGGCATGGGCCGGCTCCTGAAGAAAGGAACAGAATGAATGATAAGTTATGAAGCTCATCATTGCTCTCAGAAGGGCAAACACATGGTGTCTTTTCCCTGATACAAGGAAAGCAAGTGCCTGGAAAACATAGGGTTAAGATACTTTTAGGTTAACTTAGGTCTAAGACACACAAACAATGTTTGTGTTGTAAGCCTGTGGTGTGATAACAGAATTTAGTAGTCTTACTAACAAGAGTGAATTATTTCTTTCCATCCTTCTAATTACCAGTTAGTTTGGAGACAGTGACTCCCGCTCATCTGCTAGCTTTGGATACTCCTTGTCTGCCATATCCTGTAAATTTCCTGTCAGAAACTTGCAGATACAATTGGTTTCAGCTAATTTGTGATTACCGGGGCATCCAACTGGGCCAAAGGTGAGAAGTGCACCATGAGGAAGACTGCTTGCTTCATCTTGAAAACCCCTGCCCACACGAGGAAGACTGCTTGCTTCATCTTGAAGACCCCTGCCCACGAGGAAGACTGCTTACTTCATCTTGAAGACCCCTGCCCACATGAGGAAGACTGCTTACTGCATCTTGAAGACCCCTGCCCACATGAGGAAGACCGCTTACTTCATTTTGAAGACCCCTATTCACGAGGAAGACTGCTTACTGCATCTTGAAGACCCCTGCCCCCATGAGGAAGACCGCTTACTTCATTTTGAAGACCCCTATTCACGAGGAAGACTGCTTATTGCATCTTGAAGACCCCTGCCCACGACCATCAGAGGGCAGTGCGCAAGCGCTAAAAGGGAGGAGATTTATGACAATGAGTACCTAAACTAATTGTAATATCCCCACCCTCTCGAGAACCTGATGAATATTCATGTTTGTGTGTAATAAATACCTGCTTGCTTAACCCCTCGGTGTGCAAGTTAGGAGGAGCGATCCCCCTTGCACCCGGCGCCGTAATAAACATACCTGCTTTATAACTCTCTTTGAGTTGTAGAGTCTGTTTCCGCGCTTCATCCCCACCCTCACTTTGGAGACCTGCATGTTGTAAGGAAACTTTTAAGGCATTATGTTTATTGCAGGTGGTTTTGGGTGGATTAACTGTGCTAAAAAGGCGTGCGTGTTGCGATAAATACAGGGAGATCACATATGAAGGAACATATCCCAGGCAAAACAAAGTCAACTTGGGGAGGATAAATTGACTTTGTTGCCAGTTAAAAACAGTTTCAGATGGTGAGAAACAAAGACTAACATAAAGCACATCCCCTTCCATCCCTTCTTTCCGGGCTCAACTTCACAGCTTTCCCCATGCCCTGGGGGAGGAACACGGAGGTTGAATTCAGACCCTTCCTCTCTTCAGGATGCTTCTGCTAGTTACCTGCATCTTATACGCTGTTGGGCTGAGCCAGGCATTGACTCCGCTGAGCGGCCCCAGCACATCGCCCTTCCCCGCAGCCACCCTGAGGTGCCCCCGCTGCGGCTGAGGGGTTGGATCCGGCTGGAACCGGCCGCATCCGGCGCGGGGCCGCTCTCCCCTCAGAAGCCGTCCCTGCAGCCCCTCGTCCCCTCGCTGCCTTAAGCGGTGTTTCTGTTAACCCTTTCCAGCCGGTACTGCCCAAACCTGCGCCCTGGTGTCGGCAGCGCTCCCTCAGAAGCCTGGGAAAGCCTTTGACCGACATTAAAAGGTAAAAGAAAACATATGGCTAAATGAAAAACCACCGGCCAAGCCCTCAGGCTGCCTGCCGCGTTGCATAGCCAGCCTCTGCCTCTATCACTGCCTGCCTTGACTCTCGCTGCTGTGCTTAGTCTCGCTGTTACGTCTAATCTAAAGTCATAACGTTTGTTTCATGCAAGCCCTGGATTTGCATGGAACATTTTTTCAGGCTTTTGTTTTAAAATTCTGTGGGTTTTGTTGTTGTCGTTTCAGAGGTAACGGCTGTGAGGCGCAGATGTTTTACTACTTCCATTCCAAAGGGGGGATGCCATCTCCTAAAGGGTTGTTTCCCATATTGTCCTCACTGCCTGTGTGGAAATGTACATTCCAGGCTCGTTTCTTACCTGCCGAAAAGGCTTTCGGTCCCCTTGTCCCACTGCTGTCCTCCTGGGAGAAAAGGAGACCTCAATCACTCTGCTTCCTGGGAATACGCAGACACTGGCCTGCAAATGTTGCTTTAACCTTGTAAATGCATATGCCATGGGTTTGGCATGTCTAGTACCCAATGCATGTAATAAAGCCCTTCTGTAGGTAGGAGCAGGGTCAATGTGCAAAGTCACCTGCGCTCCGGGTAACATCTCTAAACAGGGACATTGCATTGGAGAGTCTCCTTCATCAGCGCACAATGAAGGTGAAAGTACCAGCCTTTAAATAAAGCGAAGAGGCCTTCATGCCTAAAGGGACTGAAGAAAACACACTGGTTGCCTGACAGTCCTAAATGTGATGAAAATTGTCCACCCCAGGGCATATTACTGTAAATCTTTGTCTACCTGACAGATTTATGTCTACTGGCTTCCATAAAATCCACTGTTAATGGCACACCACCTATTAAGCTGAGGTATTTCTAGGTATACTATATCACTGTATTTTACTGGAGAGTTTACATTATTCCTAGCATTTCAGTGCTTATATTATGTGGTGATTCAGGCTGAAAATATAGTAACTTTTTCTTGCTTCTCAAGGACAAGCTTTTATTCCTGGGAAATCATTCAAAAATGACAGGCAAAATATTGGAAATAATAAGGCTGAAAAATCCTGTACTCCAGAAAGGATGAGATTTATTGAGACATGCATTGGGCTACCTGAAGGAGGCATTAATAAGGTGCCAGCCAGATTCCCATGTTTTGTTAGTTGCTTTTCTGCCTTTTTTTTTCCTGGTTTTTCCCTCTTTCTTTTGCCTGTACGAATAACAATTGGAGGATTGCATTGAGGAGGTTATATATGGGGCACATGATGAATATTGACAGCGAGCTAATGTTAGCAGTGAAGAGCTTGGAGGAGCAAGAATTCCTGCCTCAACATGAAAACAAGGTGAAGCAACTGAAAGCATGTGCTGTCCTGCGCTGCAAACTGCTGAGGGTGGATACTGAAAGACCCAGGGAGAGTCTAAGTTCCCTCCCCTTTAGCTTCAGCATGATCGAGGGCATCCACATTATATGTGAAGAGAAGCTGTGGCATCAGTTATGAATGGAATTGATGGTTAGATTGATCCAGCTTTCATGTGAATTTAGCAGAGGAAGTAGCAGAATTCAAGAGAGAACATTGCAAGGGGTAAGCTCAGTGTCCTGGAAGTTGCTTCCCTGATAGTTGGGTTAGGAAGCATCAGTGAGAGCTGTGCCTCTCAGTTTTTAAACCCCATATGGTATTGTGATGTGTTGGAAAGACTTCTTGTTTCTTTAGTACCCGTCTCTTTTAATGCAGCATTGCTTTCTAAGGCTGCCAATATGTTCCCAGATTTTCTTGTGAAACTAGAATCCTGCATCCTGTGCCATACAGTCCTATTCGCTGAAAAACTATATTACACAGGAGCGGATTAAAGCCACTCAAATCTTTGAAGGCATAAAGTATGATACATCTCACCATATGCCCCCAGCCAAAAAATATCAACAAAACATACATGAGTTCCAACTATTTCACTCCAAACTCGCAAATGGATTTTACAAATGCACTTCACGTTGCAAGCTGGTAAGGTTCATTTGGCATGAAAGGAAGTGCTGGTAAGGTTTTATACTGCCCCTTTGCAAAAATATGTGATTTCAAAGCAATTTGCAACAAAGAAGTTTCTGTGGCCAGTTCCTGACAAAGCCCTGTTGAGTGGCTTTCAGCCCAGGCATTGTGGTTAACTTCTGATGGTGACCACCTGTGCATCTGTGTGGATTAGCGTAAAAATAAAAGTAACTACCTGGTTTTGGTCTGGGTTACCAACTTTAAAGTGAAAAATAATGTGACCTGGCATCTATATTTTTTCCTTCCTTTTTTCCCCTTCGTATGCTGTTTGTCCATCATAATTTTGATTCATAAAAATGAGATCACAAAAGATCTATTATTGCCTACTCTTAATTCTTTTGAATTCTCTTCAAGCTTAGAATGAAACATTCTTCTATGCCATTTGGGCTGATCAGTTGTTTTTCCTATTAAGTGGCATTTGCTACTCCTCATCGAGGTGTTTTTGCTTAATCCTTTTTTCAAACACAGTTCAGTAACCTTCCAGGAAAGAAACCCCATGAGAAAAATAATGTATGTTGGAGAGCAGCAACAGCAATTTTTGGGCAAAAGGAATTTCATATTTAAAGAGTGTGACAGCAGTTTCCCAAGTGCAGTACTCCAATACAAAAAGTAAATGTTATGTTTTCTTTTCACAAAAGCTAACATACGTAGGCGACCTCTATCGTAAGGTTTCACGCCTTGATTCAAAAAGAAAGCTCAGTGAGCATAAACAGTATGCGTACTGCAACAAGAGAAGCTTAAAGGTCAGCACAAAGATGAATGCAATAATAACTGGTATTCTCACCTATGCATAAACTGGCTTCTTCACGATTTAAGGTGAAAACCACATTCTGCAGTGTTATGCAGCAGCAGGGTGGCCTCTTGATGGCCCCAGGGGCAAGTCTGCTGGCAAAAGAAGAAGAATGGACACGATATTGTCATGTTGGGGAAAGATTTGCCAAATTTGGGTCTGGATCACTCACCTGTTGCATAAATCTGCAGAGAGTTTGAAAATTGGGCCATATGGGAACAGGTAGCACATTCCATGGTGCCAGTTAATGAAAACATGCAGTGTGAAATGAGCTAACATGGGTGTCCCGTATACTGGAGAGACTTAGATTTTTCCCTTGGGGAGTTTAATCATTCTAACAAAGCTTAATTTGTAGCAACGTCCTTGGGAAAGATTATGTGCTCCACTCTTCTAATAAAGCTAATCTAGATACTGTGGGGGTGTGGTTTAGGATATCTTGACTTTTAAATCTGTAATTTATAGATTCCTCAATTCTGTGAGCCATTTCAAAGACATTGACAAAAGGTGTATAGCGCATCAGGCAGCTTTGCTTTTAAACAGAAAGATTAAATCCACTGTTCTGGTTTCATACCTTCGCCGGAAACTTTTGGAAGTTTGAAAATCTAAGTCTTGGTCATTAGTGGGGTAAGAAATTCCTCTTTGGAGGAATTTGAATGTTTCAGCTGTGTTTAGATGGCCTGTAGTGCACAATAACGTCAGGAAGTTCACCTATTATAGTCCACATGAAGATGCAGTATTTGTGATTCCTACTTACGTGAAGGATGGTACTGAGATCAGAAGAGCTGGTAGGGGAGGTTTGTACAATTGCACTAAAAGTGATTAGGCATTAAGAAACTGTTAAGGAGGACTGACTAAAGCTGTTGCAGATGGGCTGTCAGTGTGTAAGCTACTCCTAAACTATAGAATATAATTTGATACTTAGAACATAGTAAAAACATAAACTTTCAGCCCTTTTCCCTAATCTTGCTGAACAGAGCGTTCTCTCTTCTCAATGAATCAGGCAATTTTGTATATCACCTCTGTTGCAGCAGTCTGAAATGACTTCAGAAATATGTGCTACCCAGTAAGGTATAATTTTCCACTATATCCCGATGACTACTGTGGAAATTGGAGACTTGGCTGCAGCTTTCTGACCCTATGGCAAATTCTTTGACCAGTTGTCTTATTGATTAGAACAGCCCCAAAACGCTAAGCAGTAATATCTACTAGTTGTCCAGAAGAGGCCATTTATCATAAGGCGGGTGGCTGCATGAACTGGGGTTGTGGCTGAAGCCCTGCCAGTTTATGGGCTGCTGCAGGCATCTCAGGCTGCTTTTTTAAGCTGCACATGTTCTGCTCAGAACTTTCTTCCTAGGGAAGTTGAGGGATGGGAGAGAAACGTGTTCAGAAGAGCTTAATGTGTATGGGCAGACTAGCATGTAGTCTCCAGCTCCTTGGCTCAAACTGATGCTTCATTCACTAACTCACATCTCCCTTTTGCCCTCCACGCTCCCTTTGTAGCCGTCTTT